CAGAACTGCAGTCAGCTGAAGTAGCCTGCAGTGCTGCATTTAACCACTGCGCCACCTCGGCTCTTGAGGATGAGGACCCAGACTGTTGGGGGGCAAGAGGCTGACTCTGTATACTGCTTACAGGGGACTGGAAAGCACTGGAAAGTGGTATATAAGTCTAAGCGCTATACTTAATGGCTACATACCCCAAACAACATTTCGTGGCTCAATCGCTTGAACTTAAATCGGTTGATCTTCCCCCAGAAAAAGAACGGAAAAGATGAGTGCTTTGGAATATACGCTTGCAAATTTCCTTACTTGTATTTGGCTTAGCAGCACGGTGAGGAGTCGGATGGATTCCACCCTTCTCTGAGCCAAGAGATATTTTCTTTCCTCCCACTCGGGCGGGTCTTGGGAGTTGAGTCCTTCTGGAGCTGTTGCTTTCAGATGCTTCCTGGGGCGTTTCTCCTCGCGGTCGATCCGCCTTTTTTCCCGCCTCTTGATCTTAGACCGCCTCCTTCCTTCTCCGCCTTTCTTGTCCTCCTCGTCCCGTCTTTTTCTAGGCAACAACGGAACCGTTTAGGGGAACATACCTATCCGCGCAGGCGTGTGGCAGGTTGTTAAAAAGAATAAAACGAAGCCCCCCCCATGGTGAAATCTAATTGCTACCGACTGTACAAAAACCGCTTTGGGGATTTTCCAAGGAGATGTAAAATAAGCTGGAGAGAAATCTGAGCTGCCGGTAGAGAGATTTGACACTCCGACAATATTCAGATATTAGCAGCTGTACATCAAGGCCGTGCTGACACTCCCAATTAAAGCTTTAATCCTTTCCAAGGGCATTTGAAACTTGCCTCCTGTGTGGGTTACGTACATAGAGTCCTCTCTCTCCAGCTCGGAGGTCACGCTACTCCTTTCTCTGTTATCTTAACTATCTCTAATCTAACTTCTCGTCCCCAGGATGGCTGCCTCTCCAGCAACTGGCCTTGTAAACAGCTGAACTTTTTAGAGCAGAAATTGGGAACGCGATGCACTCAGCGCTCTGCTTGGTGACCCAGCTCCCATAAGCCTTGGCTGGCGTGAAGAGCCGCCGAAGAATCTGAGGGATGCCCTTGGAAGCTATCTACAGTAGAGGCCCTGAGGTGGCTCATGGTATTTTTTAGTGGGGGGGAAGCAGGGTGAAAACAAGGCTCCCAAGGCAATCAGCTTGCAGGGGAATAAGTCATGGGTCATCACAGATGTGGCAGCAAATTTTTTACAAAAGAAATAAATCGGCTATGTTGGAAAGAAATTATTGGCTGCCTCTGGAGGTGATTCCTGGACCTATTTTTCTCTTTTAAGCGGTGGTTGCAGATACTCCTTCTACATCTACTCCTTGGAGGAGGATCAGGTTATTCTGGCCCTCCCAGCAATCTCCTCGCAAAGGAGACCCTCCGTGGTTTCCCACTGCTGTTCTGAGCCTCCCCAGCTTCCTTGCGATCAAGTGATACAGCAGACTAAAGAGATAGTCCTTGACTTATGGCGACAGTCGTAACTCGTGATGGTCCCTAATTGGGTCACCCGTTATGCTTGAGAAAACAGCAGGTCCATAGCTAACTAAAGCAGCCACGCCACAGGGGTGAAGCAAATACGTCATATTGATATATTCATTTTTTAATTTATTCTCGCATCTCTTAACNGAGTCCAGGCACGAGCTGAGCTGGATTATTTCAACGGGAGACCAGAGGACACCATTTCCAGCTTCTTCTCCATAGGAAAGGACCCTACAAAGGAGGGGGGAGAAAGGCAAGGAACCCCCAAGAGTTGAGGGGGAGGTCTTGTTGGCCCCTTCTAGGAGGGCCGTTCAAGGTTGACTTGCTTTATCCGCCAAGTTCTTTGGAGGCCACCTTCTTCCGTCTACACGTCCCGCCGTTTCTTACTCCATCCCTGAGCTGGTCTCTTTTATCACCTCTCCACCAGGCGCCTGGAAAGTCTCTGCCGCTCTTCGGCTCGGCGCCTTCTCTCGCCGACGTCCGCGTTCCCCTTGTCCGTCGCCACCTGGCGAGCTTCCTCCTGCAGTTGAGAGGCACCGAAACGGAGGAGGTCTTTTATGTTGACTGTCCCATCCAAGGCCCGGAGAGTCTTACATTTCACTTTGTGATGGATGAGCTTGCTGCATTTCCTCTGGATCTCGCTGAAGGACTCCAGCTCTCCGCGGTGGTTGGTTTCGGGGAACAGAGCCTCCTCATCCTGGAAGGGGCTGTCGGAGAACCGTTTCCTCTTCTTCTTCTTCTTCCAGCTGAGGTCTCGCTCCTCTTCGCTGGACAGCCACTGGAATTTCGGCTCTTCGTAGCAGAGTTGCCCGACGGGTCTCTCGAACCTTGCCCTGGGCTTCATTCCGGGGGACTCGCACCCTTCCGCGCTGGAACAGAAGCTGCGGGAGGTACGTCTCCCGCCGTGGCTCTCCCGGCGCACGTTCTGGACGCGTATCAAGAGCTCTTGGGCCTTCTGCTGGCGGCGGAGTGGCCACGTCTTGCCGCTGCCTTGGTAGCCGCCGTTTCTTTGCTCTGGCGTGTTCCGGGGTTCGTTAAACGCCTCGCTGAAATATTCCGAATCGCTGCTGATCTCTTCCAGCAGATCTTTCAGTTTGTACATCGTGGGAGAGGACAAGGCCGTCATTGCAGTCGTTTGTTCCTGGGGCGTCTTTGGGTGAGCGATGTTGTTGCTTCCTGCTGGGGTGGGGCTACGCAAGATGTCCGGAGGGGAGCCGACACTGTCCTCCTCCAGGGAATCGTCCCATTCTCCCTGGTAACTTTCACTAAACTCCTGAGGGCATGCCTGGTCTTCTGTAGGCTCGGACCGTCCGTCGATCACTTCCCAGGGGTCGCCCTCCTTATCCTCCCGAGGCTCGTTTTCAGGAAGATCCGATCCTAAACTCTCTTCCCGCCAACAGTCCTCGTCTCTATTCTTCAGTTTGACCCGGAAGCCATCTCCGGAACAGGACACCACCCTGTTCCACCAAGAGGTATCCGACGGGCTTTGTGCGCTGGGACAGATCCGTGCGTATTGGGGCGTTTGGTAGTAGTTCAGTAAATAATGTATGAATTCATCTGTTTCATAAACCTTTTGCTTCTTCTCCCGGGCTGCGTCGGGAGCATCCTTGAAGGAACCCAAGTGGGGCCTCAGGTAATCCCACCTTTCGGGGGACGACTCGATCGCTTGGCAGTCCTGAGTGACTGTGACTTGCAGCAAACCCCCGGCATGAAAGGGATGTATAACGTTCTCCGTGAAGTGGCTGGTGACGGCCCTGGCGGCGGGTTCGTTCGAAAGAGCTCTCCCGAAGGAAGGAGGGGAGGCGGGCAAGTCTTCAGCCAGGAACTGCTCTTCTTTCTCTTCTTCGATCGCCACGTTTTCCAGCAGGGCAGCGGGACAGACAGGCTGAGTCTCATCCTCCACTTCTGGATGTTCAAGGTGAGGCACATCCGTCCCCTCCTCCTCGTGTGCGTCCTCTACGGGAGGGGTAGAGGAAATCTTCTCCTCTTCGGGTTGGGGCTCCGGAAGATGGGCCTCCATTTGTCCAGAGGACAGCACAAAATTCTTGAGGAGAAACGGGAAGACAATCGGAATTACTGCACAACGAAGCAAAGAAAATGCTCACACAGTCTAACAATGAAAGCTCTCTCGTGCCATTTGACTTTCATCCACTTTATCTCCCTCTGCCTAGGGTTGAACTCACAGCCTCAGAATTGTGAGGTGAGCGCTCCAACCTCTAGGCCAGCGCACCACTCTTCTTAGATGGATCGGTTCGATTTGATTTGATCTGATGCGATCTGATTTGATTTCTATAGCCTCCCAATTCAACCTTGTGATCCTGAGTGGCTTACAATTCTAAGATTAAAAAACAACGAAAGCATTTTGAGAAACAGTTGGGGCATATTCTTGAGGACCCAGATTGTTTGGGGGCAAGAGGCTGACTCTGTAAACCGCTTAAGAGAGGGCTGGAAAGCACTGTGAAGCGGTATATAAGTCTAAGTGCCATTGCTAAGAACCATGGTGGTGCAGTAGACAAGAATGCAGCATTGCAGGTGAACTCTGCCCACTGCCAGCAGTTTGATCCTGACTGGCTCAAGGTTAACTCAGCCTTCCGTCCTTCTGAGGTCGGTAAAATGAGGATTCAGATTGTTGGACGGTCAATAGGCTGACTCTGTAAATCACTTAGGGCCTGCAAAGCTCTATGAAGCAGTATATAAGTGCTATTGCCCTTCCTTCCTCCTCCCCTTCCCTCCCAGTGGTTAGAATGTAGTATTGCAGGCAAACTCTGTCCACTGCCAGGAGTTTGAATTTCATTAGGCTCAAGGTTGACTCAGCCATCCATCCTTCTGAGGTCAGTAAAATGAGGACCCAGGTTGTTGGGGGCAATATTCTGACTCTGTAAACTGCTTAAAGGGGACTGGAAAGCTCTGTGAAGCGGTATATAAGTCTAATAAAATAAATAAATACATTCTAACCACTGGGAGGGAAGGGGAGGAGGAAGGAAGGGCACTTATATACTGCTTCATAGAGCTTTGCAGGCCCTAAGTGATTTACAGAGTCAGCCTATTGACCCTCCAACAATCTGAATCCTCATTTTACCGACCTCAGAAGGACGGAAGGCTGAGTTAACCTTGAGCCAGTCAGGATCAAACTGCTGGCAGTGGGCAGAGTTCACCTGCAATGCTGCATTCTTGTCTACTGCACCACC